GCTGCTCCCCCTCCCCTCTTTTTTTTTTTTTTTAAAAAAAAAAAAAAAGGGGGGGGGGGGGGGGGACCAAACAAATATAAATAAAATATTTGAAATGGTAAAATAAACATGTAAATTAGCCCAAAGATACTCCATGACTGAGCTAAGTTTTAGGACAGCCTGACTAGATATTTATTCAGTAGAATTAATTGTGTCATTTATTATTTTGACATTTTCATAAATTTCATAAAAAATACAGTTTGACAAAATTAGCAAGTTTTTTTAATTTAATTCTAATTAATTGAAACTGAATAATAACTGTGACACACGTGAAGTTGAACGTTTTTTGTCTGTGGTACAACATATTAAACATCAATAATCTGTAATATAACTACAGTTCTTTATACACGTCATCAGAAAGGTTGCAATGTGTTTGGAACGATAGAAATGGCTCTGTTATTATTTACGTATATACGGTTGACCTCTGACCCTCTGTTAAATTAATACAGGTGAACCTGTGATGTCTGTCAACAATACACTCTCTATATCGATAAATAGAATCTATTATGGACCGTGTGCTACTTTAATGGTTAGAGTCTGCACTCAAGGCCATTGAAGAAAGCGCAGGAGTTTATTGTCTGATTCCCATTGAATCTACTGAATAAATATCTAGTCAGGCTGTCCTAAAACTTAGCTCAGTCAATAGCTGTGCAGAAAAAACAACCCTGATTTGATTTGATTTTTCCATCACACCACACATGTTCATCTTGGGCTTCTGTCTCGTGTCGTGGTCTTTGAGACAGCTCTCCTCCCTCCTGTCCTTCTTTGTTTCTCACTGATTCAGTCTCCCTGCTGTACAACATACATAAGCCCGAGTTTCATTTTTCAGAAACTCAAAGAGTGCCAAAAAACACCTAGCTAACACAGAGGCTCAAAATTGTTGTCTTGATTAGCCCACCGTAACTTAGAAGATAGCTTAGGGCTAGCCAAAATTAGCGATAATTAGCTTTAGGCTAGATTTTGATGTAAGTTTCATCATTTTTCAATATGCTTTGGCTAATTTATAGCTAGCCCATAAATAGATAGCGTCTTCTTTTAGCGAACCACTGGAAGAAGAAGCTACAGTATAAGCTACCTGTAAATGAGCCAGAGAATATTGAGATAATAAACCAACTGACGTCAAAAGTTCTTTTAAAAAGAATAAAATAGACAGAAACTCTGTAAAAAGGAAGAAGAAAGCCCCGTCTCCTCTTGCCAACTTATCAGAATGTTTTTCCCCCCGGCTCTGAACTTCCATATACAAGGCAATAAAAACTAAGTGTGATAAAAATGAAACATTAATTTCTGAGGCTTTTATCACATATAATATTGCAGTCCTCCCCTCTGAGCCTAGCCTGTGTTTACGCCGCTGCAGCCTGATGTTATCAGTAATTTTAAGGACGAATTCTCAGCACAATGCTGCTGTTAAGCTCTTTTGAAATGAATCTCAAAAAGTAATCACGTAATTCTATCTCAGCAGCAAAACACTTGAGGCGCTGCTGCATCCTTTCTCTGAGTGGTTGAGAACAGAAGAAGCTGTTATGTAGAAAAGAAACCATCGACCACCCACCTGTGACAGTGGATGGTACTTTCCTTTAAATATAAACACATACTAGTACTGAGCCTCTAGCACCAGTCCAGCTCTGCAGGGACCACGGTGGTTTGGTGATGCTTTGTTTCTTTTCTCACTACCTTTCACTTTCATTCACACTTCAGTTAGTGTGAATGAGGGAACAGGGTTATTGACAACCAATGATAAATAAACTGAAAATAAAGGCACGAACAGAATGGCTAAATGACAGCTAAAAAAAATAGCCGCAAATTATGTGAATGATGTCCACGTGCTGGCTAAAGAAGCTAGTTGTCCCAGTGTTAGCAAAAAGATCTTACTAATCCTTACTGAAAATTTACACGAGATAATTTCAGGAGATAGCCTTAAAAAGATTTATAATAATAACCTGAAAGACATCACAGTGTTAGCTCAATGGTTGGCTAAAGGGAAATGAGAGGTGGTCATGGTCATCATTGTCCATTGCATGTTTAAATCCCTGAACTAGTTGAAATGTTTTGTGTAAACCTATTCAAGGCTGTGCAGATGGCCATTAATTACAGCACCAAATAGAAGGAAAAATGTTTCCTATTCAGCAAATAATTAGTTTACACTTTCATTTTCCTCTTAGGTGTCGTAACCCGAGGGCGAGTCAGAGTTTGAGTTTGATCAGCCCCGGTGGAGAGCATCATTACTGTAACTACTAGTGTTTCCTGTCTTCTTGCATGTTCGCAGCAACTGTTTTCTTCCAATTACTCCCTAATGTTGTCGGCCAGTCTGAGCTCATCTGAGGATAATTCTGCTGACGCTCCGTCTTCACAGCAGCCGCTCATCCTCCAGCACACTTCTCCACAGGCTCTCAGCGTTCCCTCTGGTTCTTTTCACCCATTCTATTCTTTTATCCCTGTAACATCTTTCATACTTCTTAATCTTATCAGTTCTGAGAAATGTTTTCTTTCGATCCCACCACATCAAAAGCCCCTCTCAGTGCTCTTTTTGCTGAGTACTTTTTTTTCTCCTCAGGGAGCGATGATTGGCAGTAATTGAAACATCTGAAAAGAGATGTATTTTGATCAAACGTGTGATTTCCTTCCCTGAGGTTTAAGAAAAAGTCATCCAAACCTCTCTGGTTTTTATTTTCTGAATGTCAGAACTAAGGGTGGTTTTATTTCAGTTTTACCAGGATATTTGAGTGATTTCTGAGTGTCTTATATTGTCTAATATCAGAATACTTGTCATACTCTGCCTCTTTCTGAGTGTCTTATATTGTCTAATATTTACTCTGTTTGTCAAGTTGAACTAATTTCAGTTGAAGCCAGATCACCTCTCAGTGACACTGTTGCTGTTGTTTAATTCTTCTGTACCTCAGCATTTTGTTTGTTCCATAATATTAGAATCCATCACGTATTCATTTCAGACGTGAATGTCTGCAGCTAGGGAGCGCCACAGCACGAGTCTCATGTGCGAAATCAAACAGGCGTGTGCTGACCCTGATCTCTGTTTATGTGGGAGGAACTCATAACTCAGTGGACCTACAAAGTGGTCCTAAAAACTCCAGCACATGTTTCCAGCTGTACAGCGGAGGCAGCGGTGAGCAGCTGGTCATAGAAATCTGTAATGATTGATTCAGATGAGCAGATGGTTGATGATTTCTCCACTAGTCCAGCAGCAGTGGAAAACTCGGTTTGCTATCAGATGACTTGAGCATGTGATGCAGCCTTTTTGAAATGACACTGATTTTTTTTTTCTTGTCTGGTTTTGTGAAATACTTCACTCAGGTTTAATTCAAAGTCAGATGTTGATTTTCTCTCACAGCCAATGGCGTTAGAGTGTGATGAATATTAAGGTGGATCATAGGAGGGATCTGAGGAGCAGGGTTGCTGCTACAGTGTGTGGTTTAAATAAATTGAGATGGATGATAACCGGAGTTGCCCTGCTCCATTATGTTGCCCCAACATGATGGCAAGTAATAGGTGGCTGAGGAGTTGATGAAAATATGTGGTTGTTGTTACAAACAGCTGTGACAGGTGTGAGATGGTGATGAAGTGTTTGCAGCGTCTCAGACGTCTGTGACTGCTGATGTGTAACCCTGCTGTCATCACTCTGGTCTGTCTGGAAACCTTAGCTTTGTTGCTAGCTTCTGTTCTGGAGTTAGCATAGCTGCAGTTCAGATATGTCTGAAAAACTATTACCAGTCAGTGCCGTCTTTTCTGTGTTATTCTACACACCAATTTTTACCAGTTAATGCGATGAGAGTTCAACAGATGTTTTTTTTTCTACAGTCAGGACAGAACGTCCAACTGGAACATTGTCCCTGAGATGTGGATGTTTAAAGTAAAGTTTGAAGTAGCTGTGATTCTATTCATCTGCTTCCAGGGTTTGAAATGTTAAAACGCCTGGATTAGACCACACTCACCCTCTACACACACACACGCTCACACATGCAGTGACCTTTTCACATTCATTTTGATTGGTGTGTACTTTAACAATGCATGACAGGTGTTGCAAGTGAGACAAACGGAGAATCACGGGAGATGGATTCCAGCCACGGCATTTACCAGGCGTGCAAATGTGAGCAGAGACTCAGAGTGGTGGTCTCAACATTAAGACCTCCCTCACGCCCCTCGTCCCTGGGATTAGCAGTGTTTCCTAAACCAGTGCTATTCTTGTAAATGTGTGATTCCTTCACATCCGTCTTTCTTTGAATCTCTGAATTTCCTTGGAGAAATGCAATAGAAATTTGCAAAAAAGAAGGAAAAGAGACAGAGGCTGAGAAATCCTCAGATGCACAATGTCAACCTTGGAGGAATCATTCATTCACCATTGATGGATAAAAAGGTGTCCGTAGCTGTGGAGGTGAAGTTTGTCTGATCCACTGATGATCCGCTGATGAAAAAACTCAAGATAAAACACACACACATATATATATGTATAT